CACATAGAGTATTGACCACTGTGGTAGAAATGAAGAGTTTTTAAAAATGATATTCCACGTGGAGATCACAATCCACTTAAAATTTCTCTACAACTTCTGCCCAAAAATGAGAATAGAGTCCAATTCAAGTGGGACCCAAATGGTATGGGAATCTCTGGGTTGTTTCTGGTTTTCTTCACTGTGGTTCCACTGAAGTGACTGGACATGACTAACCTGGGTTCGTTCATTCCAATGGGTTTACTCTGAGTACAGCTTAGGTGGGCACAGCCCACTGTAACAAGGCTGGCCTCAGGTTCAAGGAGTTAGGGACAGGGAAGTGAGGCCCAGTGTGTTTTCCTGATGTGTACACAGTGACGCTGCATTCATCTCTAACATATGGCTTGGATCTGCCATTTTGATTTCCCATACTGCTGTGCAGTGCATTGTGGGAAATTAAAATGGCAGCTTCAAGTCACCTGGCACAGGAGACCCAAGCCCCACTGAAGTGCAGGGACCCTGTCACCTGCCCAAGGTTGCTATCTACTGGGGGCCAGGTTAGTGCTTTAACATGGCTGCTTCTCAAACAGCTCAAGTATTGTTTCAAAGAAAGCTATTCCTTGGGGAAATAAATGGGCACAACCGCGTTCCATGCCAGTTGGTCATGACTAACCGGACTGAGGCCAGTGTCACAGGTTGCCCCCCACTCCACAAAACTGAGGACACCATGTTCTGTTAGCACCATCTACTGGGTATTGGCAATAGCAGGTAGTTACCATCTCTGTGACGAACTTTAGAACAAGGGTCCAAGCGGGAGGGAGACAGGCCTTGTCCCCATACCTCAAAATGAAGATAAAAATTTAGCCATGAGATTGGGAGATGGTGAATCTGGAATACCTGGAAAATGTATTCTCAAGGTCTTGGTGGAGGAACAGTTCACAGCACTGACATCGCCCCACTGCTTCCAGGGTAAACAAGAATACAAGGAGCATCCTTGTACTTTTGCTCAGAGATCATTTCTTTGACCCTATCTACATCAAGCTATATTCTATCTTTATCACCAAACTCCCAATATAATTGCACATTGTATTAATTAACAATATTTTTAATATATTATTGGCCATGTGATGATTTTAGTCTATAAATTTTATTGTTTAATGTCTTAACCTGTATATTAAGGTACTTTTATAGCTCTGTTTAGAGTAGGTAATGTCTTGATAATATAAATGTTTTAAGTTTTTGTATTAATCCAGCGTATTTTCTTTTAATTGTTGAATGATTCTGTGTACATTGTGGCAGCCTTTGGCTGTGTGCAATAAAACTGACTAACTGACAGATCATTTCTTCCTCCTCCCTCTCTATTCTTTTATACCTTAAACCTGCAGTTAACCTGCATTGCAAGGATTTTGTACAGTCCTTTAGCTAACAGAGAGGTATCTGAAGAAGTGTGCATGCACAGGAAAGCTCATACCAAGAACAAACTTAGTTGGTCTCTAAGGTGCTACCTGTAACTAGAAAGGACTTTGATTTTATATTGTCAGCTACTTCCTTTGTTACTCAAATCAGTACCTTTCACAAATACCATAAAATCCTCCTGGGGAGGGAGCAGAAGCAAACGTATTTTTAATTACCTCTCCAGTATTTACGAATAGGAAACCCCTCCTCCTCCTAGTGCCAATCTGTATCTAGCCAGAATAGCACTGCCCCCCCCACCCCACACATGAGCAGGCTGTGGGGGAGGCCCGAGCTTTGCAGGGGTATGAAAAATCCTTTGCGAGGGAGAACACTATGAGCAGGGAAACCCTCTAACAGCCCAGTGATGGCCAAATATACTCAGAAGCCTCTGGGAGAGGGGGAAATGAGGAGACAGCAAGAGGGTACAAGGAACGTAATAGCCTGAAAGGGGGTTGGCTGGCTGGAACCATAACCAGGAGCACTCCATGCTGCAACATTATTGCTGTTAAGAAACCACAGGAGCTGCCTGCCCCACACTCTTCCTAAGCATTTCCTTCCTCGCTTCACAAAACTCAAGATGAGAAGGAAGGAGAAAACTTTGGCTTATAGTGTAATCCTCTGCAGGTCTACTCAGAAATTCTTCTGAGTGCTGGTTGCTGCAAATTGCAAGTAAGGAGAGTTGCTGTTGCACTCAGGTCCTGCCTGCAGTATTTCCAGTTGCATCTAGTTGGCCACTGAGAATTGAGCATTCTGAACCAGATGGGTCATTGGCCTGATCCAATGGGGCTTTTAGATGTCTTTAAGCTCCACTGAGACTTACTCCCAATTATGTGATTATAGGTCAAAAAAACTAAGATCATGGCCACTGGTCCCATCACCTCCTGGCAAATAGAAGGGGAAGAAATGGAGGCAGTGAGAGATTTTACTTTCTTGGGCTCCATGATCACTGCAGATGGTGACAGCAGTCGCGAAATTAAGAGATGCCTACTTCTTGGGAGAAAAGCAATGACAAACCTAGGCAGCATCTTAAAAAGCAGAGACATCACCTTGCCAACAAAGGTCCGTATAGTTTAAGCTATGGTTTTTCCAGTAGTGATGTATGGAAGTGAGAGCTGGACCATAAAGAAGGCTGATCGCTGAAGAATTGATGCTTTGAATTATGGTGCTGGAGGAGACTCTTGAGAGTCCCATGGACTGCAGGAAGATCAAACCTATCCGTTCTGAAGGAAATCAGCCCTGAGTGCTCACTGGAAGGACAGGTGCTGAAGCTGAGGCTCCAATACTTTGGCCACCTCATGAGAAGAGAAGACTCCCTGGAAAAGACCCTGATGTTGGGAAAGATGAAGGGCACAAGGAGAAGGGGACGACAGAGGATGAGATGGTTGGACAGTGTTCTCGAAGCTACCAGAATGAGTTTGACCAAACTGCGGGAGGCATCGAAAGATAGGAGTGCCTGGTGTGCTTGGTCCATGGGGTCACGAAGAGTCGGATATGACTAAACAACAACAACAACAGGTCAGACACACATTATGAAGGCAAGTATTCAGAATCATTGTTGCCTCCAATAGTGGGGGAAGAGCAGAGCTCTTGTGGTTAGTGGCCATCAATAGCTTTCTCCTCCACGAATTAAAGTGAAACAATGCACATGACTACCTAAAGAAGGGAAGACCCTGGAAGGCCACTCAGTCCAGACTCTACCATTGCCTAGCTGTCCATTGCCATGTCTCCCATGACTGCTGCCATTGCCTCTGGCTCTTTGGTGACAGTCCACAGACAACACTCAAATTCCCTTCCCCCTTCTTACAAGGATTCTGTAGTGTGAATAACAGCTCTGAGAGCAAGCAGTAAGAAAGACCCCCATATCCATTTAGCTTTCCATAGGGAAGACCATCTTTTTTCCACTGCTATTAAAAAAATATACAGGCAGTAGTGTATCTACACCCAGCCACCCCCCATAATCTATGATTGTGCATTATTGTTGAAAAGCAGTTTCCTTCTTCCCAGGATCATAGCATATTGGAAAATACGCCTGGAAGATAATGCTCCAAAAATGCACAAAACACACTTTATAGATCCACAATACAGCATGCAAATAATTCTGACTAAGCATTCGCAAGAGACAGGCCCATGCTGTGAATGTATATTATGAATAATGCATACAACTTGGCTAAATCTTAATGAGTCTGTTGACATTCCACAGAGTCCAAGGAAGCCCCCCGATTCCATAGCAGTCCCACAGATTCCTCCGATCCTTTTCTCTGCTGAATGAGCACAAATGTCTACACGCAAATGCAGGCATACACCTTGAAAAACAGGCAGGATGTTCTCCTGCACATCAGCTATGTGCATATTCATCAGGGCTGAGCAGTATTGTGGCCAAAGGATCGCTGGATGGTTAAATCAAGCCAAAGGCGACTATGGGGTTGTGACGCTCATCTCGCTTTCAGGCCGAGGGAGCTGGTGTTTGTCCACAGACAGATTTCTGGGTCAAGTGGCCAGCATGACTAAACCGCTTCTGGTGCAACGGAACACCGTGACAGAAGCCAGAGCGCATGGAAATGCTGTTTACCTTCCTGCCACAGTGGTACCTATTTATCTACTCGCACTGGCATGCTTTCAAACTGCTAGGTTGGCAGGAGCTGGGACAGAGCAATGGGAGCTCACCCCAAGGCAGGTCACCTTTGAACTATGAAATCCCATCTCCACAGGAGGTATCAACAGCCACCAACGCAGATGGCTTTCATTTCCTTCACAATATCTCCGATGAATATAGGGATCTCCTTTTCCATTTTAATAATAATAATTTTATTATTCATGCCCCACCCATCTGACTGGGTTGCCCCAGCCACTCTGGGCAGCTTCCAACATATATGAAAACGTAAAAAACATTTAAAAAACTTCCCAATACAGGGCTGCCTTCAGGTGTCTTCTGAAGATTGTATAGTTACTTATCTCCTTGACTCAGGGGTCACATAACTCCATAACCTCATTTCTCCAATGAAAGTAGGGGTGTCCTAAGGAAAAGCAGGACATTCCGAGATCAAATAATAAACCGGGATGGCTTCTGTAAATCCGGGACAATCTCTGGAAAATAGGGACACTTGGAGGGTCTGGGTTTTAAATGAGGGCTGTTGATGGCTACTAGCCAAGACAGACTATGCTTCACTGTTGCAACTGGTCCTAGAATGAACCAAGAGCCTGACTTGGTACAAGGCAACTTCTTGTGTTATCTCCAACCATGTGGTCCTCTGAAAAATTCACAGAGGCCATATGGCACATGTGCAACAAACCTAGCCGCTTGCTAAGGAAGGCTCCTCGTAGCCTCGCTGTATTGTCTCTCGGTTGTGCCTTTTCCGATGTTCGTGGCTGCTAAAACTGTGCAGATTCTGTGACCTTCGCAAATTACACCCCTTGCAAGTCCCTCGCTGTCTCCGCGCTTGACATGAGATGCTGCCCTTGGAATTCAGTACAAGGGAGCAAAAGGTCAGGCTTGCAGATAACAATCCTGAAAAACTGCTTTGCCCGTGATTTGGGCCTACCAGCTTCGCCGTCTCCACAATTGCTCCCTAGATTCCTGCCTCCTCTCTCTCTCTCTCTCTCTCTCTCTCTCTCTCTCTCTCTCTCTCTCCTTCTTCCTCTGCTCCCAATGAGAGAGAGAGAAAAAGAGAGAGAGAGAAAAAGAGAGAGAGAGAGGTCTTTTGGTAACACTTTCCATCTCAGCGGGAGGCAAGAGTGTTTGTGATATCCATTTTGATACAAAACCGAAATTAGGCCTCTGGAAATAGCTAATGCATAAAAAGAGGAAGCATTTTTGTTTGGCGGGAGCATCTTGCGTGTGGCAAAAATTATTATTATAGGTTACCGTTAACCCTTGGAAGATGGAAGTCAGTTCTGCAGCTCCCCGCTGGGACGAGGAAATCGCAGGCGCTCCCTCAGCAGATCTTTCAAGAGTGCTCTCTTTTGGGAAAAGGAAGATTCTGTTGACCTCTGCTGTTCCGAGAGCTAATTTAAGCGAATTTAAGTGAAACAGAGCCAAATGTACCAGCAGTTAAACAAGGTAGGTGTGTGGGTTCTGAAATGTCCCATCACATAACCTGCCTAAGAGTAGAAAGCTTCTCTTAGCTGTTATGTGAACACAGGCCCTCGGTTGCACAGAATTTACACCAAGTGGGGTCTTTCAGCCTTGCATGATCCACCTTTTTCTTGTTAAACTAGGGTTCCTGTGATAAATCAGGGGATTTTGAAATTTACACACGAGTAGGGGTGCCTATGCAGGAATGATAAAAGTAGTGCATGTGCTTCTTCCCATGCAGAAGATCCTGGGTTCAGTCACCAGCATCTCCAGATAGGGCTGAGAAGGACCCCTGTCTAAAAACCCTGGACAGCCACTGCCATCGGTGTAGACAATACCAAGGAAGATGGAGCAATGGACTCCACATGGCAACTCACTATGTTCCAATTCATGAATTTATTACTTTTTTAAAATGAATATGCTGCCCATCTGACTGGGTTGGACCAGCCACTCTGGGCAGCTCCCAACAAAATATTTAATGAAACATCAACCATTAAAAACTTCCCTGTACAGGGCTGCCTTCAGGAAGTACATCCTCAGAGACCATTTCTTTATTTATTATTACAATTATCTCTTGCCTTCCTCCAGGAAACTCAAGGTGGCATAAATGGTTCTGCCTCTGAGGTTCAGTTAGGCTGAGAGGCAGGGACTGGCCCAAGTAAGGATTTGAACCCAGGCCTCTCAGGCCTAAGTCCACGACGCTACTCAGTAACCCCACACCAGCTTGGTGGTAAACACTATAAATCCTTAAGCTTCTTGAGAATTTGGGCCCACCACATGGCAGTAAACGGAAACAGAGGTAAGTCAGCCCACCATGTGGAAATGTGAGCAATGAGTCTAATTCAGTCTTCATCAAGCGGGTCCCTCCAGATGTTGTTGGACTGCAACTTCCATCAGCAAAGCTGGCTGGCTGGGGCTGAGGGAAGTTGCACTTCAACATCTGGAGGGTACTGGGTTGGTGGGTGCTGGTCAAATTCAATAATAATAATAATAATTTATTATTTGTACCCTGCCCATCTGGCTGGGTCTCCCCAGCCACTCTGGGCGGCTTCCAACAAAGATTAAAAATACATTAAAATGTCACACATTAAAAACTTCCCTGAACAGGGCTGCCTTCAGATGTCTTCTAAAAGTCAGATAGTTGTTTATTTCCTTGACATCTGATGGGAGGGCGTTCCACAGGGGCGGGCGCCACTACCAAGAAGGCCCTCTGCCTGGTTCCCTGTAACTTGGCTTCTCGCAGTGAGGGAACCACCAGAAGGGCCTCAGCGCTGGACCTCAGTGTCCGGGCAGAATGATTGGGGTGGAGACACTCCTTCAACCCCTTGCTCCAAAGTATTATTCACTGCAAGCCTATATCTAATTCTGGGTGGGGTGGCGAAATCAGTTACTTTCATATTTACAGGTAAACCTACCAAATTTGCACTTTCTGAAACAATGTGCAAACCAAAACACAGTTGCCTTTTGAAACACGAACCTTTCTGAATTTTTCAGTGCACTTCTGCAGTCAAGAAATATGTACAAACATGTGTGTAGTTTGAATAAGCAATGGATAAAAAGGCAGATATTAGAAAATTACCTGAAAATATCTACGATAGAAAGCAGTCGATCTATTTGCTATGTATTAATGTCATGATTTTTTTCATGACAGCTTCTGAGGTCAGGGAGCAGGTTTTCAGCTATTTTTGCACACCATTTTGAATCCGGGTAGTAGGCTGAACCTCTCAAAACTTCACTAATATTAACCTCCGATTTCAAAACTGCACCATTTTGGGGGGGGGGGGGGTTCTGAAGACTTCCTGAGCAAAACTGGTGGATAAGGCTGCTTGTGCATTTTATTCAGGGGGAAATGATTTGCAAATTAGGCATTACTGCACGCAAAAAATAATATATCAAGAAAAAAATGCACTAAAACGCTGATGAATTTTCACAGTGACTTTAAAAAAATATCTTCACAAACTGATGTGGAAATGTGGAAAACTGAATTGGGGGAGACTGAAAATGACAGAGTCTCCCCTTTACCTCTAATATACAAACCATGCCAGTAAAGACTAGAATCAAAGATTCCCCCCGCCCACCCCCTTTAAAATGACAAACTTGTTAACAGCTATAAATAAGCTAGTAATTTGCAAGTTATGAATCACTGCGACTGAGGATTTCACTGGCGTTATCACAGCTTTCATGCCTCAGCATCACAGACTTTGAACAATCTTCGCTTTCAGAACTGTCATTCCAGAAGTTGTGGGGTTTTGTGCATGTGCTTTAATGTACGTTCCTCATTAAGAAGAGAAGACCTCAGATGAAACCCGTCCCTTGCTCTCGCTGCTAGAGCAGGCATGCGGGTTCACAGCCATTTGCTCCCGAGTAAGGATGGGTGAATCTGTACATTTCAGTTTCTCATTTTTCTAGACTCAAGTTCACCTCTCCGCTGCCATTTGCGTTTAATAAACTTGCTGGCATTCGTCTGGGTCAGGAGACAATGGAAGATTGCACCATTGTGGGTAAAGTCAAACTGTCAGAGCTATAGCGCCTCCTGTGGCTGTAGAGATTGATATGGGAGAGACATATTTTACTGCAGCTGGGGCAGGTGAAGGCGCCGAGATTTGCTAGTTTTTTTCTTTCTGTGCTCCTCCCAGCGGTCATTTCACCTCTGGTCATTGCTGTGAATACATGATCTGACTGTCTGTCTCCCAGCACTACGGTTGTCTGCAAAGGATTCCCACACATTGCGGTTCATGTTGCCAGACTTCGTGCCATGTTTGCAGACAACTTTATAACACGGAGTTGGTCTGCCAACAGGCCTGGTGCCTGAAGCCAGCATCCCATAAAGCACATTCTTGGAGATCGTGCCATCTTCCATTCTATATTCATGCAGGTCTCTCCTAACATCCATGTTTTCGTATGAGGTTTTGCCCAAAGCACACATGTTTTGCAAAACATTTCCCCTAAAATTTTTGCATGCTATTTCCACTAATGTATGAACCTCCATGCATACAAAGCCCTTGGCTGGAATGAATTGCAAAATTTGGAGAAGTGCAAATGTCAAAGGCTGTGTTTGTTCAAAAAGTGCAAATTAGGTATCTTTGCCTTTAAATGTGAACTGACTCAACCCCCCCTCCCCAAATTCCTACTCCAGAGTGGACTTTCTGCCATTAGCAGAGGAAGCAGATTTTTCGTTCGTTTCTGTTATCTGCCTCCCTGCGTCTCACTTCTCCTAAGCACCTCTTTCCCACTCCTTCAAATGCACAGACTTCAAAGGGATGTGAACTGTGATCTGAAGTCCAACAGTTCCATTTCCCTAGGATTTAAATTGAACTATATCACCTTTTTTTATTTAATAAAAAAAAGTCCCCGCTCCCATTTAAGTCAATCATAGCTCCAGTTGTGCAAACGCTTGATAAGAACAGCTCTGCAGCCTGCCAAGACATGGAGATGCTCTCTTGATTTTCAGCTTCAACAAGCACCAGTTGTTTAAACACACTTTCCGTGGCACAGAAGCCACTCTGGGTACCACATCAGTGGCATATGGCCCACACAGCAGTAGAAATGTGGGGGTTTTTTGGAGGCAGGCAGGGAGATGCCTGCTTCTCTCTCCTCCTCTCACTCCAGGAAATGAATTACCATATTTTTTGCTCCATAAGACGCACTTTCCCCCTCCTAAAAAGTAAGGGGAAATGTGTGTGCGTCTTATGGAGTGAATGCAGGGGGGAGGCAGGCAGGAAAAGCCCCCAAGAGCTACACACAAGCTCCGCACGGCTCTTGCGGGCTTTTCCCCAGGAGGGAAAAGGGACTGATGCGACCAGTCAGTCCCTTCTCCCTCCTCGTAGAAAAGCCCACAGCAGCCGTGCGCTCCTTAAAGGGTGTGCGGCTCCTGTGGGCTTTTGCGGGGGGTGGGGGTATTGCCATAGCCGCGCGCAGCCTCTCCTGGCCGGAGACGTTGCGCGTGGCTAAAGAGGAAGCCACTCCCGCTCACTGTCTTGGCTTCTTTGCTCTTTGGGGCTGGGGGGGGACCCGGGCTTCCCCCGGCAGCCCTGAGAAGCTCTGGGAGAAGCGGACAGCGGCTCCCCCTCTAAAAACTAGGTGCGCCTTACAGTCCGGTGCGCCTTATGGAGCGAAAAATACGGTACATGATGTATCCATAAGAAATAAAGGGGAGAGGCTGAAATTCAGTGGTGGAGCATCTGCTTTCTGCACAGAAAGTCCCATGTTCAGTTCCTGGCATCGCCAGGTAGACCTGCAAAAGACACCTGGTCAGAAATTCAAGCAACACTACTGAGCTAGAAGGAACCAATGGTCCAACTCAGCATTGGACAGCCTCCCATCCATAGAATAACCCTTTGTCAAGGAGTGAGCTGGTAGAAAACCACACTGTTCCAAGTTGGAGATAACTCTCTGTTAGCAAAAACACAATATTCATAGACTTGGCTGAGTGTCAGGCATAATGAGCAGAGCACTCATCCATGGTAGGTCTTGCCAGTGTCGGATTTGCCTATACGGTGGTACCTCGGGTTACAGACGCTTCAGGTTACAGAATCTGCTAACCCAGAAATAGTGCTTCAGGTTAAGAACTTTGCTTCAGGATGAGAACAGAAAATGTGGGGCGGCGGCAGGAGGCCCCATTAGCTAAAGTGGTACCTCAGGTTAAGAACAGTTTCAGGTTAAGAACGGATCTCCGGAACAAATTAAGTTCTTAACACGAGGTATCACTGTAATCTAAACAAGTTATAGCTTAGGGCCCCACTCTCTTGGGGGCCCCAAAAAAATGCAAAGGAAAAAAAACACCTGGATGTACATTTCCAAAATATAAGATAAAAAACAAATAAAATAAAACCTACATACAGCAACAGTGTTTTGTGTTGTGTAGACTCCTATGATGGAAGTCATGGGCCCCGCCTGCTGGCCTACTCCCTAAAATATCACTGGTTTTCTCATTTCTATATAGAGGGTGCCTACATTCTGCATGGACTGGTTGTAACAATTGCTTTGATAAAATACCGGTACATATTTTGTTATGTGCAAATGGCTTTAGATACCTATTAGGTCCATAAATTACCACATAGCATATATTCAACACAAAAAACAGCGACAATTTGATGTTGACAAAGGACAGCTGGACATATAAAGGGCCTCATTAACTTCAGTAGCTTAGGGCCTCATCAAACCTAAATCCAGCCCCTATGAATCAGTTTGCCGAGACTGAAAGATCCCACCTACTCCCAGTCGTCTAAGTTCCCCTCCTTCCAGGGCTTTTTCCAAGCAATTGGAGATTACGCCTGCATTTCTCTGCCCATTTCAGTTCTCTTCCCTTGCCCAATGTGGGTCTTGAACCCACAACCCTGAAATCAAGAATCCCACACTCTACCGACTGAGCTATCTCAACATACACGGAGATAGGGCAGAAAAGAGACTTCACAGGGTGGTGGCTAAGAATAGGCTGCAATTCTATGGGTTTATATTTGGGATTGTATTTGAAATCAGTGGGACATAGTTCTGAAGAAGCAGGGTTGGGATGTGCTTGATAGAATTGCTCTTTTTTTAAAAAAAAAGCACTACACAGCTTGGGAAAAGAAGGCTTCCACTCTGTGATGATTAATTGCAATTAACATTTTTTAAAAAAACTTTGTACGAGCCTTTTGCCATGGTTTCCCCTATCTCTCCTATCTTGCAACTTGCTCTAGTTTGGATCCTACGAACTGTTTGCAAGAGCTGCTGAATATGGAACAGGAAGACAGAGTCAACCAGAAAAGCTTTGCCCTCTCCAGATCAGGGACCCTCCTTGAACCCAACTGAACGATGGCATACACCAGGGTTGAGGAACCGTTTTCTTACAGAGGGGTCCATTTCCTTTTGAGCAGCCTTCCAGGAGCTACAAAGTAATGGTGGGGTGTGGTCAGAGGCAAAAATGGGCAAGTGTACATCCTGACCATGAGGGTCACAGTTGTGACTGACTCTGGGCTTGCGGCACTCAGTCTCGGCTTTACTGGCCAAGGAGGCCGGCGGTACAGCTTCCAGCGTCATGTGAGCCAGCATTGACTCAGTCCTGCTCCTGGCGAACCAGAGCAGTGCACTGAAATGCCATTTACGTTCCCACTGGAGCGCTACCTATTTATCTAGCTGGCAGCGTTGACGGCATTTCGGAACTGCTCTGGTTGGCGAGGAGCAGGGACCGAGTCATGCGGAGCTCACATCACGTCGTGGGGATTTGAACCGCTGACCTTCTGATCAGCAAGTCCTAGGCTCTGTGGTTTAACCCACAGCGCCACCCGTGTTCCGTATGGTGGGGTGTGGTCAGAGGCAAAAATGGGAGTGTATACATCTTGCAGAAGGCCAGTTTCCATGGACACCGACACAACCCTCTCTGTTCTCCACTCGGGCAAGCCCTATCAGAGTTCAGTGACACATTGCAGCCAGTCAAAACAACTCAAGTATGTTGCAGGGATCACGAGCTGTGTGGCCTGGGGGAGGTGGGTGTGGCTGGGGAGAGTTCCAGTAGGTGAACAGAGAGGCTTCGGGGGCCACATTTGGCCCCTGGATGTTCCCCACCCTTCTAGGGTTGCCATATGACCACTTTTCCCAAGACACGTCCTCTTTTTCATGGGTAGAGTCATCATAGCAATCCATAGCTAAAAGTAGAAGTTGGCAAATGTGTCTTCTTCAAAATAATGGCAACCCCACAATTCCCCATTTGTCCCTATTTCCCATCTCTCCTTAGGGAGGACAATATGCCAAGGGAGGCAGGGCTCCTATATTTTCCATAGGTTGTGTCTAAATATTTATATTCCTCCTTGGTTCCTTCAAGGCAGATTTGCAAAATAGGACTGAGACAACTAGATTATATAACACATTTTATATAATATTATATACTATATTAATTTATGATAATGGTGGTGCATTGTATGGTGGTAAGTGACCGGGGCCAACAAAGTTAAAGAGCTTTGGAGGATTAGATATGCACACTAATTTATACCTAATATATTTCTATGTTAAATATGAAAGGATATCTTGTTTGCAAAATAATAGTGTATACAATATATATAATTTCTTTTAAAAATCAAAGCCAGTACAACACTACATCTAATAACGCAACTGCAAAAGAACTTTGGATGAAACACGATGAACCAACATTAAATCAATCAAGAAAAGGGTTTGACCAGATATTAAAAGAAACATTCTCGGGGAAGTGAATTCAAAAGGGGTCACTGTACAAAAGAGGGGTTGTTTATTGGTGCAACTTGGGGTGCGAGTGAGAGAGGGGGCACAGGACCAAGCTTATCGTTTTCCACACACAAAAATTAAAATGAAGCAGCTTTGTCCTCCTTCGTTTCTGATTCCCTTTCTCTCCCCCCCTTCCTGCTCTTAAAAGAAAAATTCCAAAGACAGAAAGTAATTGGTCAACACATGACCCTTCATATAGGTCCAAATATCCCATATGAACTCTTACAGACTCAATATCCTTAAGACACATTTCAGCGTTAGGGTCCAATAAAGAACACGACACAAAATAGTTCTCGCCAACATCCCCATCACCTTGGACCTATGCCATCATTTGCCACCATGCCACATCCCAAAGCAATCCAGTAGAAAGTTGGTGAAGGAGGGAGGGGGAACGTGAAAAGTGCATACTCACTCGTTTCTCTTCCTTCTAAGCACCTTTGCCGCCAGACTGTCCTCTTTCCCATTACCCGCGCCACATCTAGCACTCAATCGGAGTCGGATCCGGCGGTACTTTTCCACCAATGCCATTCCTTCCGTCCCCCCGACTGATGCTCCCTTTTATTTATTCCGAAGCTCTCCAATGTAAAACAAGAATGCCACCTTTCTAAAATTGCTCCCATCCACCGAAGTAACATTTACAGGAGGCAATATTCTCCAAAGCTATGAAGCATGTCTTGCCCTAAATTACATTGCGGCGCCTGCTCGGAGCTCGCACATTTTTGAATACGAAAGCGCCCAAGGAATCCTTTCCCCTCGTTTCCATACAGAGAGTGCATTTACTGCTTGAAAACATTTCTTAACCTAGACACTGAAGTGCCAGCCTCGCAGAACTCATGCTAATCCTAGCCCGGGTGGCTGTTCTTGAGGGAAAGCATGCAAAAAATTGTAGCAGAGCATCAACTTTGACCCTTTTCGCTTAACACACAAGACTCCTAAATTCCAGAGGGAACGGCTGAACTCTGACCTGCTTAAAATTAGCTTTGTTTAGTGCCTTGTGTGGTGGTGACTCAACGGGCCAGATTTTTTTGATTTTTTTTCCAGAAGAAGAAAAGACTTCGTTGCCCCTGAAGATTTGGTGCAAAACGTCCAATGCGAATGGCAATGGAAGGATTACTTTCCTCAATCCAAGGCAGTCTGGTTCAGCACTCTGTTGCTGACTGCATAACTTTAGGACAAGGGTAGCCCTCCAGATATTAAGGGATGCATTGGCTATTCCTGCTCTAAGGACTCTGCAAATGAAAAAGGCAGTCTTTTCTGCGGTTCCTCTCCAGCAGCTGCTATTCAGAGGTAGACTGCCACAGGACATGTAGGCTTCATTTAGCAAGTGCAATTTGTTGCTTGTTTGATTAAATTTTAACGACGACGATCAATCAAGGAATTGTGAGTAAAAAGAAAAGAAAAAAGCCAAGGCAGACTGAAAAGCCTGGAGAAATAAAAAGGCCTTCAAAAGGTTGAAGGAGTGGGGTATGCTTAGCCTGGAAAAGAGGAGAACAAGAGGAGATACGATCGCCATCTTCAAATATCTCAAGGGCTATCACATGGAAGATGGAGCAGGCTTGTTTTCTCCTGCTCTGGAAGGCTGGACCTGAACCAATGGCTTCCAGTTACAAGAAAGAGACTCCAATTAAATATCAGGAAGAACTTTCTGATAGTAAGAGTTGTTTGATAGTGGAACAAGCTCCCACAAGAGATGGTAGACTCTCCTTCCTTGGAGGTTTTTAAGAAGATTGGATGGCCATCTGTCTTGTATGCTAAAGCTAAGATACCTGCATTGCAGGGGATTGGACTAGATGACTTTTGGTGTCCCTTCCTTCTCTACAATTCTATGATTCACCTGGCACCAATTGGCAGACGAGCCTCTCTGGGGAGAATATTCAACAATTTGGGAGGGATGTGCCTCTGAGAAGGTTCTCTCTTCTGCTCCCACCCATTGCACCTCACTCGGGGGGGGGGGTTCCAGTTGGAGAATGCCCGGAACCCCTGGCCTACCTGGCGGCAAGTCAGAGTATCAAGTCCAAAGTTCAGGGGTCAATCCACACAAGCAAAGTCCACAGGTCAGGAAACACAGTCCAAGGTCAGACCAAGTAAGGCAAGTCCAGCAGTCAGGATACAAGTCCAGAGTCAAACCCAAAGCACAGTCCTGCAGAGATCATGGAGCCTCCAAACTGAGGTCCATCAACATGGGCAGTTGAGCAGAAACAGTACCTCAGCTCTGCTTCCCTGTTGCACTTTGCCTGCTGATTGCAGCATCTGGGCTTGATGAGGCAGACGACCCTCACCTGTTCCAAGCCTACTCCAGCTGAGGAATCAAACCCCTCCTCCCAGAGCTAGCGAGCCCCACCTGGCCAACTAGGGAGCTGGGCTGTGGGCCCTTGCCTGCCTCTGCCTCCAGGAGCACCCCTTCTGCTGCTCCCTACACCTCAGAGCCCACCATTTTCAGGGAGACAGGGGCCCCTCTGGCTCTGGTGATGGGTCCTGCAACTCTGATTCCTGTGCAGCGACCCCCATCCCTTCACCATCCTCTGTCACCCTATGAGTACTTCCTTCCCCATCCTCTGCTTGCCCCAGTGTGTTCCAGTCCTGGTTCCACCCCTCACCAGAATCTTCTTCCTCCTCTTTGTCATCCTGACTTCATGAGAGAGAAGGGCTATCAAAGAATATCTTGGGATCAAGGTACGAAGAGAGATGGTCCTTCAGGAACCTGGTCCCAAGCAATGAAGCATGATCATTTGAACTCATCAGATGATTGGGGTGCCCCATGGGGACTTAAGCCTACAGTGGTACCTCGGGTTAAGAACTTAATTCATTCTGGAGGTCCGTTCTTGACCTGAAACTGTTCTTAACCTGAAGCACCACTTTAGCTAATGGTCTCCCGCTGCCGCCACGCAATTTCTGTTCTCATCCTGAAGCAAAGTTCTTAACCTGAGGTAATATTTCTGGGTTAGCGGAGTCTGTAACCTGAAGCGTCTGTAACCCAAGGTACCACTGTACTAGTATTATAACATCATCATCATCAATTACTATTATTACAATTTAATAACCAGCATCACCATTTCAAAAAGCCAGTTAACCACCTGTTTCTGTTGTATTTTCACTAACACACTATGCCATGTCAGATCTGTCGTAAAATGCTGAGTCACGGAAACTCAAGAGGGAACTAAGCTA